CGCAAATTTTACCCCTACCGAAACCAAAGATGTATACACATCAAAAAAAAATTAAGAGGTACAGGGTGCTTTGAAATGAAAAAAATTATCAGCTAATTAAAATACTTAAATATGCATCACGGTATGGGAGCCAAAAACCAGGGTATACGAAGATTTACATAGATATATATATACATATATATATATATATAGAGCAATGACACCAGTTTACAAATAATATGTTAACCAATTCGGGTAAGGAAATAAATGCAATCGAGACACCTTACAGCGCCCAATGATTAGACGAAAGGCGAACAAAAAGAAAATAAAAATAAATAACATACCTATTACTCTTCATCTGCATAAAGAGTACTATTTTGCTTAAGCAGCAAACAAAACCAGCTTGCGAAAATGATAGTACAAATGTATGCACATCAGGGAGGTCCAATTTTTTTATATATTTTTTTTTTTGATTGAGTCTTTTTATAATTTTGTTCACCTAACTAATTACATTACCTGTGCAAAAATTTCAACGTTTTACTATTAGTGGAAAATGTTGCTCAACGCGAGTTTAAAATTTCATGAATAAATTGTATTTGACATATCAAAACTTGCGAAAGGTTAGTAAAATACTTGAAGAACATAGTGCGGAAGAAATTACTTATGCAGCACGGAAAGTAACAAAAAATGAAACGAAGCCTGATAACACTATAAAGAAGTGTCTTGAACCTTTGAAGCGCTGGCCTTGTGTTTAGATTTAGATTTATCGGAAGAAAAATATAATAGACTACGCAAAGTTGCTAACAATATACATGCGGATTTTTTCCCAAGCACGTATGCGTTAAACCAATTAAAACAAAGTTTAGTACCACATATAGAAGCGACGGAAACTTCAGCAGAAGTTAATTTAAAGGCTCTTGTACATATTACATCCAAACACATCTTAGAAGTTTGTGCAGACAAACACCCAGTGGGCAAACTTTCACTTATATGTAAATGGGGAATGGATGGCAGTTCTGGCCACAGTCGATATAAGCAAAAATTCTCCGCGGAAGACCTCTCAGATGAATTTATTTTCGTAATTGCTTTGTTACCACTTAAGTTCGTATAAAATCAATTATTTTCTTATGTGTCTATTCTCTATTTTCCAAATTTTTTCACATTTTAAGGCTCATCGATTCCTCATCAGGTAATGAAATATGGGTCAACCGAACTCCCTCTTCTACGCTGTTCTGTAGACCAGTGAAATTCGTTTATACGAAAGAAGGAAAGGCGTTAATTCATTCAGAATATAATAAAATAATTCAGATGATTAATGATTTGGAATGTGATATTTTTAAAAATAAGAAGGGAATTGCTGAAGTTTCCTACATCATGCATTGCACTATGATTGACGGTGCAGTAGCTAATGTTTTAACAAACACCAATTCCTCAAGCAGATGTTTCATATGTCATGCACGCCCAACAGAAATGAATAATATTGAACAAAACAAAATACCAAATCCAGATCATTATAAATTTGGGTTATCAACCCTCCATTGCTGGATTCGATTCTTTGAATGTCTATTACACATAGCCTACCGTCTGCCTTTTAAGACATGGCAAGTCAGAATGGAAAATAAGGCTAAATTTATTGAAACTAAAGCCCGTATCCAAAAAGAGTTCAAAATTAAAACAGGTTTGATAATTGACCAAGTCAAGCAAGGGTTTGGAACAACAAATGATGGAAACACCGCTCGACGTTTTTTTGAAAATATTGACGTTGCCGCAGAAATTACTCGTCTGGATAAGTCTCTAATCCATAATTTTTCTCTGGTGCTAAGAGTCCTCTCTTGTGGAAAACAAATAAAAACCCAAGAGTTTAGTGTTTTGTTGAACGAAACAAGAGAGTTATACCTTAGAAATTATGGTTGGTATAACATGCCAAGTTCAGTGCATAAAGTTTTAGTACATGGATGTGATGTAATTAAATACTTTGATTTACCAATAGGTAATGATTTTAAAGCTATGTTTTCATTTATTTTCTTAATCTGTATTTCCACCTATTTTATCAGGCTCATTATCAGAAGAAGCCTTAGAATGTTCACACAAAAACATAAGAAAATATCGGCTTAATCATTCTCGAAAAACTGGAAGAGTACAAAGCAATACGGATTTAATGACTCGTTTGATATTATCGTCAGATCCATTAGTTGCATTTAAAAGAAATATAAAACAGAGAAACAAATATTTAAAGGGTTCTGATCTCAGCTTTAATAAATACATTGTTGAAAGTGACGAAGCAGACAAAAGCATGGAATCATTTGAATCAGTGATCACTTCCTCCTCTTCTGAGGACTCTGAAACTGAGTGATTATAACAACTAGTTCGGTTTTTATTAACATATTATATGTTATTACCATATAACAGCTATTATTACTTACTTACTTAACAGTGATTATGCTTTATTTTAAATGAAATCAAAAGAATTTTTTTTCTAAAGGTTAACATGTAAGGAAAACTGACTTAATTTTTCAAATTACCATAATGTATTCACTTAGGAAGTAAAGTTTAGACGAATTTTGACTATTAAGACTATTTTTCTGAACACTTAGCAACAATGATATGCCATATTTCATTTTTAAATAATCATGTGCAAAAACTCGGTGTTTTTTTAATGGGTACCCGTTACAAAAAAACCGATTACTTTCTTAAAATTAGAGTAATATAGACACTTCAGATGTAAAGTTTCAATAAATTCTGACGACTCCTTCCTGTTTTCGTAAACACCACAATCAGCAATGATTATGCCTTATTTGTCTTTCATATAGTAATGTAAAAAAAAATCTTTTTTTTTAATGGGTACCCGGTACCGAAAAATCGATTTCATTTTTGAAATAAGCATGGCTTAGTCCTTTTAGGTGTAAAGTTTCAACAAGTTCTGAATACTATTTCGGTTTTTATAAACATATGTCTACGATGATTATGAGTTATTTTACCTTTTTATAAAATTGTAAAAAAAAAATTTTTTTAATTAAATGGTAACAGATGCTGAAAAACTTTTTTTTTCTTAAATTGCCGTGATATAGTCCTTTCAGGTGTAAAGTTTCAGCCCATTCTGATGCCTCCTTCCACTTATATCAACACATGTCCACAATGACTATTTTCATATAAAAATGCAAGAAAAACTCGGTTTTCTCGAAATGAGTAACCGGTACAGAAAAACCGATTTCATTTTTGAAATTAGAGGGGCATAATACTTCTAGGTACAAATATTTTTTTTTTATTAATAAATAAATATATGATTAAACATACCAAAATCCGAAAATTGGTAAACTTTGGAGACAAAAAAAAAAGAACATCTTGAAAGTTCGTGAAATTTTTTTTTTGGTTATGGTAGTTTGGACCTTCTACTAACAGAAACAATCGAAATCTCTTCCAATTTTTTCCAAGATTTGAAAATTTTCAATTTTGAAAAAGTGACTAAATGCCTTTTTTTGGTATTATTTTAGCTGATCTATATTTACAATACTTTTTCTGAATGCCCTAAGATCTAAATTTTTGGTTCGCTTTTCAAAAATAAGGTGTTGAATTAAAGCTAAAAGTGCCAAAAAAAAAAAGGCGTGAGTACTAGGTACTCATGAAATTTGATGTGTA